TGTGAATTGACAGCCCTATATATAGTCAGTCAGAGGTTGCTTCAGGTAAAGAACCACTGGTAGCCAGGACAGGCTCCAGTCCACCCAATCACCCTGAATTTGTAAAGTGGAAGAAAGTGGATGGATGCATTATTGTAAGCAGGACTTATGTGCTGTAGCTGGTTAAAAGTGAAACTAAGATTAACTGCTGTATATGGGGATTAACTAATTATCTAAACAGAAAAAACTTTGACTTTGTCCTAGTAAAGTCCATCCATTGTTGGAGGCACAGTAAGCGATTTAAACTCTCATGAGATGAACAGAGGCTGTCAAACAATAGGTGACTATGCTGTAGCAGTGTGGAAACACATTATGACAATCGTGTACTTACAGATGGCAACTCGAACTGTTTGATGACCTGGGAAACAATTAAGCTGCACAATCACAATTGAATTTAAAAGCTACTACAGCTAATGGGGTGGTGTCTTGCTGACAAAATGGTATTTAACACTCATCAAAAGAGAGCAGTTAAAGAAATTAGACTCGGCAAAGCATTAAAAAGACTTTCTGGGCTGATTTGACATCATCATTTGTATTATACGATTGAAAGTTTGTATATTTGTGTTAGAGAAAGATAGAAGACGTGAGGGTGGATTGCTTATGTGTATTTTAATAGATAAAAGTTGTCAGCATTTGCTAAATAGTGTGTTAAAACTACAAAATTTAATGCAAGAGAAATCTAAAGAAGAAAAATGTCTTTAAAAAAAAAAAAACAACAACTATTGCTGTGATTTATCTAATCAGAACAACTGAGTGGTCCCTTGCAAATCTTTTGTGCACACTTGGCATGCATGGCTCTGTCTCCAACTACTATATGACTTATCCCACTGTGATGCACTGTCTTCTAAGCCCTGCTTGCTCCTCACCTCCATAAATTATTCATTTAGCACAGCATGAAAAACGCATGTCAATTAGCCAGGTTTATTTTTTTTTTCCTCCAATGAAAAACAGCGGGTTTCTCCTCATGCCAGCTAGAAGAATTATGTAGTGAAACAGTGCATTATTTATCATTTTTGGACATGACTGCTCAGGCTAGATACCCTCATTCTTCTTTAAAAGAAAGGAACAAAGTCTGACAATGTCAGTTATTCTGTTTGATTTGAGCAGACATATATCTATATGTCTGCAGATAGATACAGTAGATGGATGGATAGATGGCTTTTTTTCTTAAGTTGGAGTAGTTTTTAATTTTGCCTGTTGTATTAATGCTGTGATTGATTGAAATCAACGCTGGCTGATGAACGCTATGACTGAAGATCTTTGATGAACTGCCTCATTTCGTCCTTGTCCGCCTAAGCATGCGGTAAAACTGAGAATACATCACAGGATCCTTTTAGTCTATGTAGAAATGTGTATATAGTACCAAAAATCCACTATATGGAGGAGTGCACCCAAAATACTTGTCAGTTTATCCCCATCCTAGCTGAAACTATATCTGTACACAGTGAGATATTTAAATAAGCCATAGAGCCCTATGCACAATTGCTAAACGGTAATATTTAGTTGCCAAAATCTGTTTATGTATGTTTACATAATTTGCATTTTTATGCTTTGATTGAGGTTATAATTACTCGAAGATCCAACAAAATACAATGCTATTTCATCTTTAATTAAATCAGCAATTAATATCAGCTGCAATTTTGTCTGCAGGTCAACTTACTATTCAGATTACACATAGCAGAAATTCCCTAAAATATTAAACCTTTCATTTGAAAGAGATAAAATTAAAATTAAAAAATTAAATTAAAAATTAAAGAATTTAAAAACATTATTCAAGCATTGAAACAATGGCATGCTCAACAGTGTGATCCAGCACACTTTCATGAGTTTAAATTTAAATTAAAACTCATTATTTATAATACTTAAATACTAAATTAGCTATGTAAAATATGCCTAGTTTAATATGTATTAATATGTGGTATGTCTAACACCATTCCCAGGTAATTAGAAAAATAAGAAAAATAGAAGTTTCAAAATCTGGCTGGAAAATATTTTCTCTCAGTTTGTAAAGTGGAAAAATACAACCTTCATGACACTTAAATCTAAGTTTTAACCTTGCAAAGAACATTTTTGTTTATGGTCTTCATTTGCTGTCTTTTCTTTCATTTTGTGCACTCAAGGAAGCTCTTGGCCACATATAGAAACTAACACCTTGATACGCTCGTGGATGATTCAGAGTCAGAAGACCCAAAACAAAAGATCCATGTTTCAAATAACAGAGTGAGGTTAAATTTAACAACACTATATTTTAATCAAAGCAGGATTTGGTGAAATACCCCTGAAGACACAGGGGTCTGTGTGGAAGTTATTGTCAGCAATGAGCACCACGCGTGGTCCTGTTGCTTGGATACTGTACCTGCAGTGATTCATGACGCTGATGGCTCTGGGCTGCTAAGGTAGTATTAGCTCAGCTGAATCAGAATTGAGATTTTGCTTATAAAGACCGAAGTATTTTTTTTTTTTTATGTGAGACCCAAGTGTCGTTGGGTTTGTTTTTTTTGGGTTTTTTTGCTGTTTTTACCCCCGAGAGTCAAAAACACATTCTCCCCATTTCACCTTTTCTCTCCCACACCAAAGCAAATAAAAGTAAAACTATAGCCCTGACATTGCACTAAACCAAATGTTCAGCATAGGGTGACACTATAAAGCATATGTTAAACCCCAGATGTGCTTCTTCATCAGCAGTAAAAAAACAAAAACAAATAAACGCTTTTTCGTTTCTTTTTTTTAATGGACAAATTTGGTTGTGCATTTTTCCCCATACTCTCTCCACTGACTGCCAGCTATGGGACATTTTACAACTGCACTATAAACAAACACAATATGCCCCAGGCTGCATTTATGAATACAATTCTTAAAGTGTTTGCATATTTGTGGATATTACAGTGCTGTAGGCAGATGAACAGAATGGTACTTAAAGAAAAATGGTGAGGTATTTTAGTCACCTGTGGAAGCAGAGGAGAAAAAAAAAGTGTGGGTCAAACTGCAGGAGGAAGAATATGTAGCGGAGTTTAGTCTAGAGACGAAATCTGTAGCAGTTAAGCTATAGGGGTACCAAATAAAAAATAACTGCGTAGTCCAAGTGTGTAGGCCCTATAATAGCATTATTGTGTGAGTCTTTTGGAGTTGATGTGCAGGTTACCTCTGTGTTCAGCTGTGCTCTGGTGTGGAAGAAAACCTGGAGGGTCTCAATAGGTGGTAAAGGCAGGTGTGGCAGCTATTCATACATTTACAAATACATTAGTCTATATTTGCAATATTTTCTCTCCTGTGAAAGTGGAGGAAAAAAGTTTGGAGGTGTTTATTATAATTGTTATACCTTGTGGCCCTTAAGGAGAACATAAACACACACAGTACAAATGCAGTTCTCATCCACCTTCATGTACCCGTCAGTGATTTTTTCCCCACCAGTCTCAAGGGGTAATAATGAGCACATTATGGCTTGGCACTGCACAATGAACAACACGGCACAAGAAAACCCATTTAGGAAAGTTGACACTAAAGAAAGATTTATACTTTTTTAAATTGCGTTTTATTTTTACAAGAGAAAAGACCATCACAAAGCTCCTTCCCTGAGCTTTTCTGCGGGGATGATGAACTGCACTAAACCTTTTGTTATTCCTTACTTCACTGAAATAGTTACACTCCGACTCACAGCTGTGATCAAAAGTTTGCATACACTCCTCATGCCATGAATGCCATGATAATTTGGGTTTTTTAATAATTTATTTATTATTTATCACTTATTATTTATAACTATTCTTATTCCAGGGTGCAATGACTTTTTCAGCATACATCTATTAATGACAAGAATTACACATAAAAGGTTCAATTATATGCATACATAATATTTGGAAAATGTTTAACAACTTCCATCTTGACCAAATGTTTTGGTAGCCATCATCAAGATTTTGGCATAAGTCCTGTTGGAACACCCAATTATGTCCAAGTTTCAACCATCTAGCTGTTGACATGAGGTGAAGAATTTGGAGGTACTACTATTTTTTGATTATCCCATCCACTTTGTGCAATATTATCAGTCAACAGGTGGCAAAACAATGCAGAGCATAATGAATCCATGGCTATGTTGTACAGTGTTTTTAGGTTCGAAAGTCTCACCTTTATTCCTTCAAACACACTTTGTGGCCAAATACCTCAATCTTTCTCTTATCTGACAGTACAACTTTTCTTTTCAGAAAACATTTAGCTTGTCTGTGTGGACAGCTGTAAATTTCTGTTGAGCTTGTGTATTTATTCTGGAGCAGGGGCGTCTTTCTTGATTGGATGGATTGAGAAGATGCCAACGTATTGTAAAACTCATTTTATTGTGGTCATCCTTCCTAACCAACTTATTCTCATCTGAGGGTGACAGAGAGGGGGAGAAATGCAGCAAAGGGCCACGAGTCACACTGGAACCCGGGCTGGCCGCTCTCAGCCGTGCGGCATATGGTCGCCTGCATATCCAACTGAGCTAAATCAGCACGCTTCAGCATCACTTCATGTATGCATGTCTAATTTTGAGCCTGTGTGGATTAAAGAAAATCCCAAATAAATCCAAACTTGTACATCACATTCTGACATTAAAAGTCATCTTAATTGGTCTTAATTGTCCATGTAAGAACTGTATTCACAAATATAATAGTATTAAACAAATTTAACATGTAGTGTACAGTGCCACAGATATCAAGCCTTGTTATAAAGTTGGGATTTTTGCTTTTACTTCATACACATTGGCAGTAAATATGACTTTGATGATCTGATCACATGCTAACAACTGGCCTTAGAATTAACTGTCGCCATTGTTAGTCTTTCTCAATTTGACGTTTTAGTGCCAAATTAATTTGTGTGTGTTTCTGTCTGATGGGGCTCTTAAAAGCATCTACACTGATGTTGGAGTGACAGTCATTTTAATGCACAACCATCACAAGCGCACTGAAAAACACCAACACAAAGAGCATCCATTATGTGAAATAAGTCTTTATTGTGTGTCACTGATTGTTAAAACAACTATTACCAAAAGCACGTAACAAAATATGAGACTATTATTTCAACACAACGTCTGGTTGAATGCGTTTTTCACTTTGATGCATTAAAATGCACAGCAGGTTCACATGCAGACTGAATTTGAAACATATGGTATATACAGAGATCAATCCAAATATATAAACAGAGGTTGCTATCATCTTCAAACTTCAAAGTTTGTGTTCCAGACCGATGCACTTGAAAATAACAGTGATTTATTACCAAAATGGGGGAAAGTCTATTATTTCAGTTTGTTTATCTACACTTATGTTAAAAGTTATGGATATAGTACATGCTTTACATACATCTTTAGCACCATCCAAACTACAATAAAATGCCTCAACAAGAGCAAATTAGTAAAGTCTTTTGGCCAAGCCAGTAGCATTAAAATTTACTGAGGGGAGCTGAGAAATTGAAAATTTTCATTTCATTACATCCAGCGAGAGCCATAAATGAAACAACAAAAGAACATAAACTCTCCTTAGGGATTTACATAATTGAAAATCCAGTGTAATTACCTTCTCTGGTACCCCTTTATAAGTCACCCTTTAGAATTGGTTTTGCGCTCCAACAAAAGGGCTCTAATTATTAGTAATTAGTTCTATAATGCTTTTTAGCTTGCTAGCTATTAATATTAACAGTTTTTGGATTGCCAGGTTATGAAGAAACTCGATGGCTGATGTTTATCCTAATCCAGTACAACACTCATCTCTTTCCTAGTTCGGGACATTTATTCTAATGACCCGTCTGACCTTTTGGGAAAAGGCAGAGTTTAATTATTGTAAAAGCCCTGACTTTAGGAGAATTCTAGTTTAAAATGGGCTTATTTCCCCATTAATGTGGAAAGCTCCAAGTGTTATAAGAAAATAGTACAAAAATATTGCTGTTTGGCAACAGGACTGGAGAGGAAATTCTAACCCTGCTGGCCAGACCCTTTTTGTTGGCTTTCTTTCTGCCGGTAGTGGAATAGACTAGTAGTGTCCAGCTGAGCTGCATAGTGGATAGCCTCAGCAAATAGCTTTACCACCTAACGCAGAAAGGAAAAAAATGAAACAGAAGTTCGTCAGTTGTCACAGTGAGTCAGATTGTAAATAAAACCACCAGTTTTAGTTGGCAGCATAGTACTGACCTGAAAATTGGTAATGAGTGGGACTCCATGGTCAATGGCCATTCTACGGATGAGGAAGTTATCCTTCACGTGGCGAGTATTGTTATTGGGCAAGTTGACCACCAGGTCAATATGACCCTCACTGATCAGTCTATAAAAAAAACATGCAAAAAAAAAAAAAAAATTAAAAGAAATCATTCAATTTAAACCCAAAGCACAGTGTAAACTTTGACTCAAACTAAATGTGATGGGGTGGATGCAGCTCAGGTGGTGGAGCAGACTCGACTATCTGTAGAGTTGAAGGTTTGATCCCTGAACCTTATGTGCCAAAGTTTCCTTGGAAAATGCAGCAAATGTTTCTGATGCCTGCCATGTATGCAGCTACACCCACAACTGATGTGTGTGAGAGTGAGTGTGTCAATCTGTCAATGATTTAACTCTTTTGTATTAACTCTTAAGATATTAATGTTAAGATTCTGAGGTGCTACATATAAGAATATTATGAAAAATTTTCATAATTTTAACCTATTTTTATTTATGTAAAATGAAATATTTCATTCATTTTGCGTTTTAACTTTGGTTATGGATTATAGAGGACTAAAATCAAAAATTAATCTCAGATTATTAGAATATTAAATTTTAAATTTGATTAAATTACTATTCAAACATTGAGAAATGATATTTACAGTCTAGTTCAGTCTTGCACATGGAAACACAGTCACTGGGAAGACAAATGAAACCTTCAACAAAGAGGATTAAGCCACAGAAAGTCCACAGATTGGAGAGTTCACTGGAACAGGAAAGTGTTGTTGGGAAGGTACACAAGCAACCAGTGAGCAGTTGATTCAAGAACTTGGGTTTCACAACTGGTGTCAGTGTATCACAAGCCACCATGAACAGATGTTTTCAGAAAAGGAGCTACAACCGTCACATTCTTAATATTAAGCCACTCCTAAATCAGAGATGTGAGAAGCTTCTTACTTGGGGTAAAGAAAAAAAGAACTAGAGTGTTGCTCACTGGTCCAAAAATCCCCCTTTCAAATAAAAGTCAATTCTGATTTGATTTGGAAATCAAGGACCTAGAGTGTGGGGGGAGAGTACAAGAAACAAGAGTTGAAGATGATTTAAGTTTGAGTTTGAATTGTCCACAGTCTGATTATTTGAGGTGCCTGCAAATGGCAGGTCATCTGCCAGGAAGTTGTAGAGCTTCCAGCTGCTGACGAGCTTTATGGAAATACCCATTTTTGTTTTCTAGCAGCCCTTTGTACCTGCCCATAGTGACAAAACTTCTACCAAATGGTTTGTTATTACTGAGCTTGATTGGCAGCCAACTCGCCTGACCAGAACTGCATAGCTTTAGGCCATATACCCCACAGATTCTCTACAGTGGAAACAGATTCTTGAAACTCAGATTAGACAAGATGACTTGACTTTACATTCTAAGCAAAAAAGACAGACAAAAAAAGGAATCAGTGAAGGATGAAGACAATTATACAGAGATGCAGCAAGTTGAAATGACACAGATACTTTACAACTAGGAAAAGAACAGAAAGAGCAAAGAGAGCTATGAAGAAAAAAAAAAAAAGTAAAATCAGGTTTGACCATGTTGCCGACAATGGCATTTTCTCAAATACAAACACAAGTCCACATTGATCACATAATTTAAATACTCATAATGCAAGTAGAAATTACAGCTAAAATTAGAATCATCAGCAAAAGCTGAGTTACAAACTTGCAAACATAAAGCCCAATCATCAATAAAATCAGCTTGAAGTTGTGGGAAGATCTAAGATCTCAAAGTTGTATTTGCTGTTGTAATTGCTGACTTGTATGAAGCTGGAACAGTTGATGAAGAACGTCTCAGTCATCAGTTTACAGGTGGATGTAAAGACAATTTAGCAGAGTCTACTCTGTGGGAATGGTCACCCAACTATAATACAATATTTTTTAACAACTTAAAACAAGAATCAGAAACAAAAAGGTGGAGATGAAGAGGAATCAATACAGGAATCTTTTTCAGTGATTGAGATTTCTGTATTGTATGCAAGTTAACCATAGTGTAAAAGAGGGCTGCTGCCACAAGGAAATTCACCCAAAAGTCAAACACAGTGGAAAGAGGATTTGGGGTTGGTTTGCTCCTTCTAGACAGCTCAAGAGTATTTTACAGGATAATATCAGAGTGACTTCTTCACTAGCTGAAGCTGTTGTAGAAATTGGTGATGCCGCAGAAAAAAAAAGGACTTTAAACATAAAAGTAAATACACTGTGATAAGAAAGAGATGCTGAATTTGCACATTGGCCAGACAGAGCCCAGAGCTTGAGACTAGAAATGTTACGGAGCTCGAGTCAGTTGGTCACTCAAGAAATCTTAATGTGGCCGAGATATAGGAGCTCTGTAAAAAGAATTGTCTAAAATACCTTCTGAGAGCATTACAGGCCTGATGTGAAGCTACTGAACACACTTATTTGAGGTTACTGCTGCAAAAGGATGTCCCGCCAGTTATTAAATCCAAGTGTTAGATTTTTCCTGCCAGTAATCCAAATGTTGGACAGGAATGTTCAGAAAAGACAAAAAAAACCCTCAAAACCAAACAAATATTATAATTATGACCAAATAAGCAAATTGTGTTTGTATACTTCCAACATACACAAAGATCAGACCATATTTTCTCTGTCTCCACACACACACAGCCCCAGTCTCTTTTTACATTTTCATCTGAAGGCCTTCGACAGACTGCATAGAAAAAAGGCTGAATTCTAATTGAAAGTGTGTGACAGACAGAGACAACAAAGGTTGTGCGTTTTTTTCCTTCTATAAAGAATTGGCCTCTATGCCACCTTGCACAGATGATGCCAAATAGTGTTGTGTACATCTGTATGTGTTTGTTAGTGTTGGTCTAGGCTTATTACATTTTTCGTACCCTCTTTTTCACCAGCTGACTTCCGAACATATGGTCCAGATGGCTTCATTGTGGCACGATCATTACTTGTTTGTGGAATCGTTACCTGAACACCATCACAATCACAGTCACGGCTACTGTGCTACAATAATTCTCTCCATGTAGAACTTTCTTAACAGGTTGTACTACTGGCAACTGAGCAATTCAATAAAAACAGACCAATGTTAAAACAATGTACAGCAATTCGTCGCCAGACATGTCCTGGTTAAAGTACCAAGAAAGTGAAATGCTATTAAAGAATGCAATCTATAATGTTCTTTGTTCTTTGCTTTGCAACTCTAATTAAGCTTCCACTGCAAGTTTCCCTACAATGTTTCACAGGTGTGGCCAACAGCAAAATATATCACTATCTACCTAATTTGTGCTATTTTTGATTTTCTTTGGTTGTGATAGTTTCTCTCTGTGACCAGACTTCAGTGTCAGTATTTTACAGTGTGCTGTGTGTCTGGAAAGTGGAGCAATAGTACACGAGAAAATGATAATTTAATGACAAGTCATTAGTGTCGACCAACCAAAATCAACTTAGGAGACACGCTATAGGACCGTAACAAAGTATAAAGTATACTAAATATAATCAAGTTTAAATCCATCAAAAAGTGGAAGAGTAGCAGTGCCATTTATGGAAGTTGTGCAAAATATTTGTTAAATTTTTGTACTTTATTATTGCCCATAGCTGCTTTTTTAACTTTATGTTACCCTTATAAATAATTTCATCATTCTCCCTATTCAAGTCTTATACTGGTCAATGTAATGACTCTGGACTTCAGAGTCTGCTAAATCTTCTTTGATCTTTTTACATCTTACAACGATAATGAAGAGGCTTTAGATCTTAAGGCAGCATACTATGCTGATTAGACATCTTGTTTTTAATCTTAATATGTTACAATTCATTTAATGCTTAAACACTTCCTCTGAAAACCACAAGCTTGGCTTCAAAGTTTAAAGGCCAAAAGTTTCACATGAGCCACTTCAATAAATGTGCCAGAAGGGTTTAACATCAATTTAGCAATCTAAATGAACATTTACTCACCTCTTAATACTGGGCAAGCTGTTGTCTCCACCCATCCCAGTGGGCCAAGCTACTGGAATGGCAGGAACGTCATTGGCACACAACCAAGCGGAAGTGGCTTCAGTAGCATAGAGCTAGAAGAGCAATATAATGCAGCCTTACAAACGCATACAGAATGTAAAAATACTGAAGGGAAAGGAGAAAAGAAATTCTTAGTTCTTTTCAGTAAATCTAAAGAGCAGGAATCAGAAGAGCTTCATTAACCGAAGATCATAAAAAGGAAGCCATTTCTGATTTTCAATGACCAAAAATCACAAAAAGGAAAATATTTCTGATTTTCAATAACACGTCTCGTCTCTTATCTTTGAAATAGCAATCACCTTGAAGCCTTCCTCTTTCAGCTGGTTTGCTGTAGCCAGGAAACTGGGTCGGAACGAATGCTGGAAGGGAGGGAAGCAGACGGATATTTGAAAAACTAAATGACATAAGAACATCATAAACAACAAACAGAGGGAGCGCTTTCATGCAGATTTCTCTGTTGATCCGTAATGGTTGACAGATACTGTATGAGACAAATTCAGCACTGTATCATTGAAGGTTTGTTCTTCTTTTCTGTCTCGCTTTCCCTTTCAAATCAAAATCACACTGTATTCATGATACTTCCCTACAGAAAAGCTGTTACAAAATAAGGCACAACTTGTAAAATAATTTAATTTTTAGATGCCCAATTTTGACTATAAAAATATTCAACAATAATACAAATATTGTCATCCCTTTGGAATACCCACATTCCCCCCCAATTCATTAAACATTTACAAAGGCAATAAAGGGTTGTTCCAAATTAAGACAACATAATGACATTCTCGTTTGGTAGGTAGGTGTGTTATATCAGTCAATTTGAAGTTAAAAAAGAAAAGAAAAAGGCAGCATTGCAATATCTAGACAACAGAAATCTAAACAACAGATTCTCTGATAAGGAATATGATAACTGAGGCAAGCTAAGAAGCAGTTTTGTTTTTTTCTTTTAAAGTGTGACAGTCTATTTACTTCCTCACTCTGGTGGGATGACTTTGCCATCTGTCTTTTGGCAACAGTCAACCAATGGAAGATTTCTCAGAGAGTACATGTGTTTGCTATGACAACAGACACTGACTGCATAATTTATTTTCAAGCTTACCAGGAACTTCAGTTGTGCTTAAAAAAAAAAGAAAAATACTGAGAAACCATTCTTTTAAAAAAGAAAAGAAAGAAAGACAAAACACAAAAACAACAATACATATTTCTTGAGGTATCGTTCTAAATTCAGAACCCTTGATAATGTGAATCTATAATAATCTATAAAACAAGGTATGAGGAGGACAACTACATTCGTACGGAAAATCTAAATTTCAGTTGTTTAAATAGACCAAACTGCTCCGATCTTAAGGATGTGATTGTAACTAGGTGTTCTTTTTCCTTCAGGTCAATGGAGGGTAGGTCATATTGTGCCAATCTTGGAACAGTCTGACACCACTCATGCTAAAAATGACTTCAAGGTTACATCTTCTAGAGCTATAAAAGGAAAACACAAATCAGCCCTGACACGAGGTATTCAGTTAAGTATTAAAAGGGTTACTCTTGTTGTCCGCAGATGCTTGTTTGATTGTAACTGTGGTAGTTAAGACTGTTCTGTCAGAGGATTATAAGCATGGTCAACCGTACATGCAGTTTACATGATGTCAGTTTTGTTATGCAGTACATATTCATTCTTGTGTGCTGCTCAAGTCTGTTTTATGTAACTCATGGACATTCGGTACAGACAATGCTGTGCACTTAAAAAAAAAAAATCTATTATTTAAGTAGAAAAGAATTTCAATTATTCTCTTTTCCCATGAAAAAAAAACACTTTGTAAAGCATTTATTTTGTTGGAGATCAACTTCAAATGACCCACTTAATGGATTCTACCAAGCAAACTGAAAGTGCTGAAAACTCTTTTGCTCCTGATTTGCAACTGATTATGCTCACACTGGGTGCCCTTCAGCTTAGTAAACGATGCGCCTGCTGAAGTCACTGCTATCTCATCAAAAGCATTGTGATATGGTTTGATATTTGTCATGTAAATACATTAAGCCTTATATAACACACAAGTCTGTACTTAGATGGGCAAATCTGACATACAGCTAAAAATGAGGGCATGACAGGTTAGGAAAATAAGAGATAAAAGTAAAATAACAAACTTTACCAACAGTTATTGTTAATATAAGTAGTCTGAGTGATTAATCAAATTTTCAATAAAAACTTGTTTAAACAGCTTTAAAGAAAGAGTATCTTGAACACAACTGTTTAGTTTTTGTCTGTTAAGACAAACTAAACAAAGTAAAACAAAACAACTTTACTTTTGTAGATCTTGCAAAAATACTGAAATGCTGAAGACATTTGATCGCTAAGCAATCCATTTCTAGACAAACAATTTGTAAAAGGATCTGCCGTAACACACAGCAGCAGACAGCGGTTATAATATTTTCAGACCTATATGCATACTTCCAATACAAAACCAGATCAAAGAACTTTGTAGAGTTTGTGTAGAGTTGCAAGAAAACATTTTTGAAAACCATCGGTATTGCCAGGGTTTACAGATTAATTATTCAAAATGTTTAAACCTTTATTGGGAAAAAAACAAAAACAAGAAACGAGTATGCCTCACAGTACATGCTGGAAAAAGTAAACGCCTCAATTGAGCAACCTGTGGAACATCCATTAGCAGGAATGACCTCAGACATTTTCTGTATCTGCTAAAGAATCTTGTACCGTATCTCATACAAACGTTTAACATTTCTGCATCGTCTTAGTTGAAGAGCTTTCTTCTAGTCATGCCACAGCATCTTGTAATTTACTTTAGAAATGGTGGTAATTGGTGTGTGCTTTTGGAGTGCCTTTGTTTATCATTTTACTCAACATTTTGTAAGATTTTGGTCCTTTTTTTCCTGTAGTTTCTTGATACAATTTGGAATTCAGTGTGTACACGCTGGTAGTAAAGTTTTCAAGCCTAATGTAGCAAAGCATCACTGTGGTTAGAAAGAGGCTTTGATGGTGCTGTGCATTGCCTTTTTTCCCTTTGTGGATTTTTCCCATTAAGTTAACTTACGTCTCCTTTGTGCATTTCTTATAAGTATCTAGTTTCTTTTCTGAACCTTAGAAGGTTTCCCCCTTTTTTTTTTAACCCAATAGGGATTTCTTTTGCGGTGTCCTTTCACCGATTAACACCATTCTTATTCAGTGTTATTGTATATTAAAGACTGTCCGCTATATGAAAAATTGGTATGCGTGCTCAGTGTGAGTACACAATCCATTTAATTCTGTATTTTGTAGATATTTTTGCACATCTTTCAGGACTGCTTATTGTGCTCTTGGTGTGGTCTTTGCAGGACAACGACTTCTAGGGAGAACAACCATCCTAAAGCAACTCAGCTATGATTTTTATCTTGTTGTGGATTCATCCAGGTCTTTAGAAAAGCTTTTACTAGACCATTTTCAGCTCCAGCATTGATCACAGCATGAGAACAGCAAACCTTGTCAGTAACCAGACGTATGTGCTTCTTTATAGGGAGAGGCACCTCACTTCCAATTTCATCTGTTCACTTATTCTTTCCAGCCTGCACTGTGAGCCTTGGCTCAGACTGTTCAATAAAAAAAAAAAAACGTACAAGTCTTTGTGTGTTTGTTTAGTTAGATTGTGTTTATAACTGTCACTTAGTTATCCATCAGACAACATTATACGAGTAACCAAAGGAATTACAATAGGAATAGAACCCTAAAGGGTTTTTGCCAGTGTGCTACAAGTCAGAGAAGCTGCAAGTTGACCTCCTGCTGGTCCTAAGGTAAAGCTACAGCTGTTAAGTTAAGCTAATGCGAAGAGCGCAACAGTGACTGCATACCTTTTTTAGGGCCTTGGTTCCAGAAGGGAATTTTCCAAAAATATTCCTAACATTTCAGAATTTTTTTTATATAAAAGTTTGAAGCCTTGAACTAAGTCAATCAGCTACGAGGTGAATCATTAAATGTTTGAACATGGAATAAAATAAGTAACAAAAATTAAAAAACAGAATGGTACAAGATTTTGTATATATTTACTTTGAACAGTGTCAGAACTACTAAGCCCTTTGTTTATTGAAAGTACTACTTCTACCTTTTTAATGTAATACTTTTCATTATTGTAGTATTTTAGAATAATAATTTGGAAAATACTTTGTAGTGAAGTATAGCCTAGCTATCGATATGGTATAGTGCTTCTTTCCGCTCATGCAATTTCTGAAGTTCCACGCTCATTCAGCTTTCTCACCAATCAGAGACATTGCTGGTTCAAATTAGAAATTTGGCTAGAGCAGTTATTTTCCGCAACACCGAATAAAAAGCTTTCGTACTGAAATACGGGAGCCCATGTCATCTTTTCACAATGTCATAAGTTAAGTTAAGTTAAGTT